CCTCCAGCACATTAGTTTGGGCTTGTTCTCATTGCAGTGACAAGGTTCCAGGAGAGAGCAGAATCATTCAAGGCCCCTTGAGGCCTGGACTGGAACCCATAAACTGACATTCACATCGTTCTAATGGTCTTTCTTATAATGTCAATCCCAGAGTCAAGAGATGGGGAAAAGGCGCCATCTCTTGGTAGAAACCACAAAGCCTCATTGACAAATGCATGGATAACAGGGAGTGGTACAAAATTGGGGTTATTTTTGCCAACAGACCTTTGATTCAATCTATAAAATAAGATTAATTTTCAAGGTTTGTTTAGTTCTGAGTTGAACCCCATTGTATTTTGGTAGGTGTTGTGTTTTTGTATAGAAATTGAGGCAAGTGTAAATTATATATATCTATCCAGTAGTCCAAATGACTCTTTGTTATATTTTTTTCATAAGGCATATCTGGTTAGATTTTGAAAGTATTAATAATTCATGCATTGAATTACCAATTGTAGGCTGCTGAAAGATGTTTTCATTTGTACTTTTATTCTTTTTATTATAAACGATAATTTCTTTTTGTGTTCATTTGACCAGTTTTAGATTTACAGAGAATTTGAGTAGATTAAATAGCGTTCCCATATCTCCCCCCTTCCCCCACCCCGTTTTCCTTGTTATTAACGTTCCATTAGTGTGGTTCATTTGTTACAATTAACGAACCAATATTGTTACATTATTATTAACTGAAGACCATACATAGCTTATTCAGAATTCTTTAGTTCTTAAATGTTATTTTCGTTCCAGAATCCCATCCAGGATGCTACATTATTTAGTTGTCATGTCTCCTTAGGCTGCACAAGACTTTCCTTGTTTTTGATGACCTTGACAGTTTTGAGGAGTGCTAGTCAGGTATACCGTAGGATTCCCTTCTGTTGTATTTTGTCTGATATTCTTCTCATGACTTAGACTGGGGTTATGGATTTTTGAAAGTATGTTTGAAACTTTAGTATGTAAGTGTTCTCTTAAAATCCCATTGAGGTAAAACCAAATATACCAGTTACTTTAAGTGTTTTCTCCTAATCTGTACTCGCCTTCAGCACTCACCTAAACACAATCTCAGTTATATGTTTTAGATATAGATTTAAAAGCAGTTCTTATCAAATTTTCTTATTAAATCCTTTTTTAAAAATGTATTGTTTAAAATGTGCTAGTTTGAGTATTTAGACAACAAATGGAATTAAAAGTTGTTTTCAGATTTTGAGGTATAACTAAGAGCAGAGCAAGATAGAAAAGAAATGAAACCACTGAAGTCAGTTATGTTACTTTGTGTGTGTGTGTGTGTGTGTGATGTTTGTATATGCATGTCTATGATTTTGTATATGTGTTTATGTGGGGGTGTTCCTTATTTATCTCCTTGAGAACTTGCCGTCCTCCATGTATTCGTTTCCTATGGCTGCTGGGACAAATATTACCATAATAAACTTTTGGCTCTAAACGACAAATCTATTCTTACACAGTTCTGGAGTCCCTAAGTCTGAAATTAGTGTCACTGGGGCAAAATCAAGGTATTGGCAGAGTCATGACAGCTTGGAGGTTACAGAGGAGAATCCCCTTCCTTGCTTCTCCTGCTTTTGGTGGCTGACAGCATTCTTGGCTTGTGTCTGTATCACTCCAGTCTTCAAGGCCAGCATCTTTAAAACTCTGTCTGCTCCATCTTCACATCAAATTCTCCTGTGTGTGTAGTCAAATGTATCTGCCTCCCTCTTATTAGATACATTTAGGATCTATGCAGATAATCCAGGATAATCTATCTCAAGATCCTTCATTTAGTCACATCTGCAAAGAGTTTTTTTTTTGCCATATAAAGTAACATTCACAGATTCTGGATTAGGGCATGGATATTTTGGGGGCCATTTTTCAGCCTGTCACACTCATAGTTGGCTGATAATGTCCTCACTTTGATTTATAGTTTAGTTTGTAGCAGATCCCAGTATCCAATTCTGGGTGGGTAGGGATTGGTGGCAGTGGGTGGCAGAGAGAATATACTCATCTCTTCTAGACATTATGCAGAAAACTCTAGGTCTGTGGTTTTTAGTGTGTGGTCCCTGAACTAGCAGCATTAGCATCATTTTAGGGATTTATTAGAAATGCAAATTTTCGGGCACCAATCTAGACCTGCTGAATCAGAAACTTTGGGGGTGGGGCCAAGCTATCTGTGTACAACAAGCCCTCCAGGTGATTCTGATGCAAGATAAAGTCTGAAAAACACTTTTCTAGATTGTTGACACTATTAGCACTAAAATGAAATATGCTTTCCTACCCAGCGCCTTTCTGGTTAACGCTAATACTAAAATCAGTTTAGAATTTCTAGCCTACAATCTTTTTTATTGTAGAGATATAGAAACATTTAGTAACAAAATGTTAGTGCTGATAATCCATGAAATTAATTAATTCACTTAAGAAAAGTTCCGGCATCAAGCTGATTTTTGTCGATTGTATTTTTACTTCTTGTTGTTAGGTGCCGTCGAGTCAGTTCCGACTCATAACCTATGACCCTATGTACAACAGAACAAAACACTGCCCAGTCCTGCGCCATCCTCAAGTCCTTATTATGCTTGAGCCCATTGTTGCAGCCACTGTGTCAAGTCTATCTCGTTGAGGGTCTTCCTCTTTTTTGCTGACCCTCCACTTTACCAAGGTCTGATCCTTCTGATAACATGTCCTAAGTATGTGAGACGCAGTCTCGCCATCCTTACTTCTAAGGAGCATTCTGGTTGTACTTCTTCCAAGACAGAGTTGTTCCTTCCTCTGGCAGTGGGGCATGGTATGTTCAATATTCTTCACCAGCACCATAATTCAAAGACATCAATTCTTCTGTCTTCCTTATTCATTGTCCAGTTTTCACATGCATATGAGGTGATTGAAACACTATGGCTTGGGTCAGGCACACCTTAGTCTTCAAGGTGACATCTTTGCTTTCTAACACTTTAAAGAGGTCTTTTGCAATGGGTCTTTTGCCCAGTGCAATGTATCCTTTGATTTCTTGACCACTGTTTCCATGGGTGTTGATTGTGGATCCAAGTACAATGAAATCCTTGATGACTTCAGTCTTTTCTCCGTTTATCATGATGTTGCTTATTGGTCCAGTTGTGAGGGTTTTTGTTTTCCGTATGTTGAGCTGTGATCCATATTGAAGGCTGTGGTCTTTGATCTTCAGTATTTTTATTTAGATGTAGTTATTTAATAAAGTAATGTGCCTGGATCTGGAAATATGTTCTTTTTTCCTCCAGTCCTTGAAAATGTGAATTAAACTTGATAACCTGAATTATACTTGCTTATCTTCTGTATCCCTTAGTACATTTTGGTACACTACACGAAACCTCTAATCCCTCATTCAGCGTACGTTGTTATGAGTGCTGAAATGAGAGAAATGAATTCTTGCCCTCAGTGTGTCCACACTCAAGTTTAGAAAAATCTACAAGTAAACAACGGAAACGGTTAATATAGAATGATCATTAGTTGCTATAGCAACTGAGAAACACAGCTGTACACAGTTCAAGGGATTAAAGAAGGATCCACCAGAGTGACTGGGCTAAATATTGATGTACTAGTAAAGAGGTGTTAGCAAAGTTAAAAAGAGGTGGAAGGTAGTTTTAGGGAGGAGGAACAGCATGTAAAAAGGCATGAAAGCAGAGGGACCATGAGGGCTGTTTTAGGAATTAAAGAGGCTTAGTGTGGTAGAAATATGGAGTGAATGGGAGAGTTGTGGTTGGGCATAGGTAGATAAATTGAGATCATGCAGTGTATTCCTAAGTAACTCTATGCTAAGGAATTTTGATTTTATTCTGAGGTTGATGAATAATATTGAGGGACTTGAACCAGATACGACATGTCAGGAAAACTATTATAAAATGGTTACTCATATAATTATGGGAAGGACAAATTTGAGATGACAGTGAGTCTGGAAGTAGAAAAGTTACAGTAATCTAGGGTGAGAATGGCAGTAGCTAATGGGGAAAAGGACAAAATTAAGAAATGTAAAGGAGCTAGTGGTGCCATTTTTTTTTTGAGAGTAGAATTCCAAAGACTAACAAGCCATGTTCAGGTAGGGGAAGGAAATGTGCAGAGTTCAGTGTAGGACATAATGAGTTTTCAGAATTTGTGGAATGTGGTAAACTTAGTAGGGTTGGTAGATTTTTGGCAGGTACATTTTCAATGGATTGTTAGGGTGGAAGCCTCTTTACTGAGGATTAATTGAGGAAGCAAAAGAGTATATGTATGTATACTGCTCTCTAGAATAACAATGCCTGGCATTTATTAAGAGGCGCCCTGGTGGCGCAGTTGTTAAGTGCTTGCTTGCTAACCAGAAAGTAGGAGGTTCAAACCCACTAGCCACTCTGCATGAGAAAGATGCAGCAGTCTGCTTCTGTAAAGATTACAGCCTTGGAAACTGTATGAAGGTAGCTCTGCTCTGTCCTTTAGGGTTACTATGAGTCGCAGTTGACTCTATGGCAGTGGGTTTGGTTTGTTTTTGGTTGGCATTTATCAACTACTTAATAAATGTTAGCCATTATTATGATCATTATTAGTATATACTTTCATGCCATCCCACATCGTTATCTTTTTTTGTCTTCAGTTTTTTGGCATATTTTTTGGTATGTACATAATAATATTAGATAAACACTGATCTAGAAAGAAGTGTATGTTTTATTAACAAATATTGATTTTAATTATTGCCATTGCCATACTACTAACACTAATGAAAACAGTTATTATAAATTTTTAAAGAGAATTAGAAAGTTGAAGTTTCTTATTTGAATAGATTAGTTTTCCTCAAAAAAAAAAGTGCTTAGCAATATTTTCTGATGTTAAAACGGTTTTAGTTGAACGTTTTTTCAGATAGATTTTATATCTAGAAAATAATTTGCAATTTTTAATTTGAAAGTGTAGTGTATTGTAGATGTAGTCATTCATACCTGAAGCAAAAAATTAAATGATGGTCTTTACATGTGTTCTTTTTGCAGGTTTGATTTAATTTCGAATGAGATTATTCTTGCAGCGAGATGTTAATAAAAGAAAGCCTAGGTAAGTAGATTACTTTGTTAAATGTTATATATTAAAGTAGGAAAGTATAAACATTGTGTGTATGTGTTTTTTTTTAATGCCTTCAAGTCCAGATGAGTTTTTAAAATAAATTTTAAAATACGAAGAATCGACTTTTTGACGCATTTGGTACAGTGGATTTGGTAACAGTAAAAATACGGCTATCAGATTATGAGGCTATTCTTAGTTTTCCTTCATTTTTGTTGATAAAGTATACAAATTTTCAATGAATATTCTAATGTGTTAGAAAATCAAGATGATGTTTGGTTTAACCACCCAGAAACCAGTGTAGTAAGAGATTTGCTTGACTGCTTCAGTGTTCTCTCCGTAGTGGATCATAGTATGTGAGTTGTCTATTAACGGAGCACTTCTGCAAGTAGGTTAAATTTGCCAAATTGTAACCTCTTTCAGTTAAAATAGTGTTCAGAATTGTAAAAAATTGTTTTAAGATTTTTCCTGTGGGTGTCTTTGCTGAATGGCTTTTCTAATGTAACATTCTGATTAGCTTTAATTTGCAAGACTGTTAAGACTTTTAGAAAATTGAATTGTAATCGTGTACTTTTGGTATATAAAAGAATGCTGTTTTAATAATATAAGCTATTGAAATGGTAAAACACATTTACTGTTTATTGGTAAGAAGAGAACATGGTGTCAGGTTATTAACTGATTAAAACGAATACTTTGATAAAGTTGCTATTAATTTGGTCTTTGTGAAATCTAACCAGACGTTTCAGCTGTCGAAAGCTTGCCGATTTTAATGTTTTTTTTTTTTTTTTTTAAAAAAAAGCCTAGGGTGAGAAATGCTGCAGTCAGTAATGTGCAGTAAAATAACCTAGTCTCAGTCAGTGGTTTAGGCATACTTTGAAGCAGAGCTCGCGTTTTATTGCTATTATGTAATAGTAGTACTGTTGTTGTTTGCAGTTGAGTTGATTCTGACTCATAGTGACCCTATAGGACAGAGTAGAACTGCCTCGTAGGGTTTCCCAGGCTGTAATCTTTATGGGAGCAGCACGCCAAGTCTTTTCTCCCATGGAGCCACTGGTGGGTTCGAACCACCAACCTTTTGGTTAGTAGGTGAGCATATTAACTAATGCGCCACCAGGGCTCCTTATAGTAGTACTAGTAGCAGCAGTAACCATTTGAAGAGTACTTATTGTACTCTAAATTGTGGTAAGTGCTTCTCATACCTTACTCGTCCTTATCTTACCTCCTATGAGGTAGGTATTGCTGTGTAGAAGAATCTTAATTTTTTTGGTTTATAGTGGGTTATTTCTTTTTGTTTAGAAAGAATATTTTTACAGCATTTATTATAAAGAACGCTCACCCATATATCTTCCTAAAGGAGAGAAGAGGCCAGACTTTGTACTTTGAGGTCTTACAGAGATTTTTGTTTGCTAGTTGAATATATAGGGTTTTTGTTTGTTTTGTTTGAATGTATAATTTGTTGCCATTGTTGTTAGTTGCCGTCAAATCAGCTCTGTCTGATTCATGCTGATCTTAGGTATGCATAACAGAATGAAACATTTCTCAGCCCTGTGCCATCTTTATTATCAGTGGTATGTTTGAGTCCATTGTTGCTTTTGCTGTGTCAGTCCATTTCATTGAAGGTTTTTGTTTTTCTGACCCTCTACTTTATCAAACATGATGTCCTTTTAGTAATTGATCTTTCCTCATGACCTGTCCAAAGTGAGTGAGCCAAAGTTTCACCATCCTCGCTTCTAAGGAGCATTCTGATTGTAAATGTGTAATTTACAAGTGATAAAATGCATAAAATTTTAAGTATAGAGCTGAATGACTTTTTACATATATGTTCACTTGCAACTGCCATCCAGATTAAGATATACAATATTTTTATCATCCCAGAAAATTCCTCATGCTTTCTTTTCCAATCCAATATACTTCCTCCCTGAGGTGAGCATCTTTCTGAATACTATTAGCATAGTTTTCCTGTTCTTGAACTTCACATATGTAGAATTGTATAGTATGCACTCTTGTGTCTGGCTCTTTTCATTCAGTGTAATGTTTTTGAGATTCATCCATGATGTGAGTGTATCAGTAGTTCATTACTATTGCTGAGTAATATTTCCTTGTATGAACATACCACAGATTTTTTTATTCATTCTCTATAATTTTGTTTATTGGATTCTATAAGTAGCTGGCCTCACTTGCTGTCTTCTTTATACTGTTTTTCTTCCTCTACTTGTCCCCTTTATATTTCCCTATTACCTATAGAATAAAATGTGAGCTTTATAGCATGGCATATAATTATCTCACTGCAGCTATGCCACACTGCCTAGAATTCTCTGAGTAAACTAAGTGTAGTGTTTCATACTCCTAGATCTAGCATGATGTGTATGTTGTCATTCTCCCACTCTCTTGCCTTCTCCAGCTGCCAGTGTCCTACCTCTTAGTTGTCAGCTTATTTCCTCAAGCATCACCTCAGCCTGGGAGCCAGGCCTGTCCATACTTTAGCAGTCTTCTCTACTAGACTGAGCTCTTTTAAAGCAGACATCATCCATGTTGTATTTATCTTAGTAGCACAATCCCAGACACTTTAAGAATTCTTCTCTCTCAAACATAAGGATTCAGAATGCTGGTTGAAATGAGCTGGGGACAGTTGTACTTCAGTTGCTGCGAGGCTGTAGGAAAGAGCCAATACGGGCAATCCAGAGGCAGTGTTATAAGTATTTTGGAAAGAGAAATAAAATACCACCAAAATCTTTTTTGAATCCAATTGTAATAAAGGTAGTCCCAGATTTACGACATGGTTCCATTCCGTCGACTCTGCAAGTTGGTTCTGATGTAAGTCAAATACCTCTACCGTTTTTTTTTTTTTTAGTTTTCATTATTGTTGCCTATTATTAGTGTCTTTATAAAACCAGTCTTTGTCTTTCGGGATTGGAAACATTACATATAAATTTACAAATATATTTTAATACATTGTATGTAGTACATTTTACTAACGATAAGATGTAAAAAAAAAAAAAAAAAACCGAAACGGATGGTCATAAGTGTGATTCATTTTAACTCGAATACCTCGTAAGTCAGGGACTATCTGTACAATGTCTAGTAATGTTCTTAGCTCAGACCTTAAAGAAGACCGTTGTTGCTGATTTTGATGACAACTTCCAAGTGAGGATATCAATCCATGTTGTAGAAATTGGAGTGTTTGCTATAAATGGTATTCTCTTTGTGGGTTTATGCTAGTTATTCCTTTAAGATTGTAAAAGATGTGTTACATTAATACAAGTAAAAGATTAGGGCAACCAGTTACATCTGTAAGAGGCGAATAAAACTTTTTCTCATTCCTGTGTGGGTAAAAAATTGTATGGATGGAGGAAGAAATTGAAAAATCAAACTATGAAATTGTGATAACATTCCTATAGATTAGGAAGCTTGTTGTTAGCTGAAAAATATTTTTTAATTGTTTCATTATTATAGATTTGTAATATATATAAACAATATGCTTTCTTAAGAAATTAAATGTTTGCTGTTTTAAAGCATTTTGTACTAGTTTTCTTCTTCTGTAGTTGAAATTCGGCTAGTTGAGTTGGCTATATTAGTCCCTGGGGATTTTTATGCCTGAAACTTGATTGCCCTGTAGCAAGTCCAAAGCAAGGAAAGGTCCTTCTCCTATGGTATCAATTTGTTCCTTTTCCTTTCTGCAGCTTCTGCTGTAAAGGTTGGACATTGACCCCATCTCATGCTGTTCCTTGTCTCCCTACCAGGATTTTCTTAGACACGGTTTCTTACCAAATGTTGAACCTTAGTTATTTCTTTTATTTCATCTTGGATGTGAAGTCTGTTTAGTTTTCTTGTTGATAAGATTTGAGGATCCAGAGGAATTTAACCTTGGGACTTCTTGACTTACAAGTCACTAAAAGATTTTAGACTAATTTTTCTTCTCAGAGGCTCTTCTTCATTTTGTAATTCAGTATTTCTTGTAGGCAACTGCTGCTAACCTTTTTCATTTTTCAGAATCTTGCATCCATGCTTTTGAAGTTCTTAACAAATGTTTATCTTATTTATTCTCTTACTAGCTTAATTTCCAAATTTATTTCCCTGTGCTTCAGTTTCTTTAAGGCAGCGTAGCTATGCTGCCCTTTGTTGTAGCACAAAAAAAGTTTGTAATTAATAAAATTATTTGTCTTGGTTCTAGATGAGGTTGCAGTGTACATTTGACCTTTTTTCAACTGTATTGCCAAGTAACAGTATTTTCAAATATTTTTAATAAGAGTTACATGTGCTTATATGTATAAGCAAATAGTACAGAAATGTTTAAAGTAAAAAGTAGGTCTGTCCCCTCCTGACCAGCACTTTACTTCCCGTAAGCTACTGAAAACAGCTGGTATATTTTCAGTATTTATTTAACAATATGTTCATTAACCAGTGTATCTTGGATATTTTCCCCATGTATGTTATTGTTAGCGGCTGTTGCATTGGCTCCTGACTCATGGTGACCCCATGTGCAATGGAACGAAATGCTTCCTGGTTCTGTACCATCCCTGTGATAGGTTGCAGATCTGACCATTGTGATCCATAGGGTTTTTACTGGCTGATTTTTGGAAGTAGATCACCAGTCTTTTCTTCCTGGTCTTTCTGTGGAAGCTCTGCTGAAAATTATTCAGCATTGTAGCAATACACGAGCCTCCACTGAGACAGATGTTGGTTGCGCATGAGGTACACTGGCTGGGTGTTGAACCTGGGTGTCCTGAATGTGTAACTGTATTCTTATTGATAGATATTTGGGTAAGTCTCAGTTTTTTTGCTTTTATGAGCATTACTGCAGTGAATATTCTTGACTGTATCATTTGGAGTGTATGAGTGTCTACAGATAATTTATAGCAGTGGGTTGCTGGATCAAAGGATATGTGCACTTTAGCTTCTGATATGTATTGCAAAATTGCAAGTAGATTTTACTATTTAGTATATCAATTGGCAGTTAATTTAGAGTGTCTGTTTCCCGACATCCTGCTAAACAG